ACAGACATCTGTACTGTACAATTAGTAACAAATTACTTCCTACTTCAACTCATTAGACCTCTTGTGAGCACAGGGGCAATGGCTAAAGAATGCTGCTTCAACTATATTTATTTAACTTAAGAAAGTACTTTGCCTTTTCTCCAGGGCCTCAGTTTCCTCATCTGTCAAAGAAGTTTGGACTGATTCTGAAGTGCTCTGATGGTGTGGTAGGAAAGAACTTTCCTAATCATCTGTAAAACAATCCCGATGTGAGAGCATTGCTATATACTTATGTCCGCGATTTGCATTCAGTTGTGTCCGTCCATCCATCCGTCCATCCATCCATCCATCCATCCATCCATCTGTCCATCCATCCATCCTTCTGTCCATCTATCCACCAACCTTTCCTTGCTCCCTTCTGGCCTTCCTTTCATCCATCTCTTTATTCATCCATAGATTAATATATTTAACCATATATATATATATATATATATATATATATTAACCATATATATTTAACCATAATATATTGACCATATAGTCTATACCAGGCATCCCAGATACAATATCGGAAGCAAACAAGGACCCAGCCTCCAGTGAAGGAAATGGTCACCCACCACATGATGGCCACTGTAACTAGTGCTAGGTGGGTCTGATCTGGGCACCAAGGCCAACAAGGGGCTTCATTGAGAAGTGACGGCTGAGATGTAGGGAACTGGGAGGCCCCAGGCTCCATGCTGGCGGAGTGCTGGTGAGTGCTGTGTAGGATGAGGCCGGAAAGCTAAGTTGGTCCGCAGCTGACAACAAATGAAGCTACCAGAGAGTTTTCCCTCTGTGTGTGTGTGTGTGTGTGTGTGTGTGTGTGTGTGTGTGTGTGTGACAGGAGCACACATTCATTTCTATGCCACGGAGCTGCTGGCAGCCCAGAGAATAGAATGAAAGGGCCTGGAGTAGAAGGGGAAGGGTATGCTGTGCCTGTCCAGGTGAGAGGCTGGTAGGGGCAGCAAGCTCAGAGCTGCCCACCAAGGCCTTGGTCTTGCTCTGCGTCAGCAGCTCTTCCTCCCCATTGTGATCTGATCCACCGCAGATTCCTCTCCCCGACTACTTCATGTGTTTCCCCAGGAATGTCCCCTTGGCCAGGCTGCGGTGAAGAGTAAATGCAATCATAAGTGAAAGTGTGTAACAAAAAAACCCCTTAGTGATTTTGTCTGACAGTTTTGCTGGTCTTAAAGCCCAGTGGTGTGGAGCGGCCTTTGTACTTTCCACAGTCAACCTCCTCTGCCCTTGAATTCTGCCCTCTCACCCCAACACTCCTGTGTTTTGGAGTCCCTCTGGCTGTCACTGCCTTTGGCACCTGGGCAGTGGACATGGGCTTTTTGTGTTTCTCCAGGGGCTGCTCAACAAATCCCCCCTCCTCCTGGGCTGACACCCCCAGGCTGGTAGCTCCTGAGGGGCTGGACCAGGAAACTGCAGTCGCTCTGCCCTCCCTGACCCTGTGATGAGGCAGCACCCCCCCCCCACTGAAAGGTTTTATTTAAGCCCACTTGAAACCAGCCTGCCCACGCCCCACCAAAGCAGCTCTTTGTAGATTCTGTTTGCAGCCTGAGCCCACACATTTTGACTCAATCTTGAAGCATAAAAGGACATTATGTAAGCTTAATTAATGCACAACCCTCAACAGACCAGTACTTAGAATTTTCACCGCCCTTAGGCCAATCTGCTCCTGGTGAGTGCTTTAATCTAGCTTTAGAACCCGCTTCTGGTGGCTAATCAAGGCGACGGCTGGTGCTCAGCTTGTTCTAAAAAAACCAGCCAATGTACAAGTTCTTATTCGGGTATTGCTATACGTCTCTTACTCAGTGGAAAATTCATCTACTTGCTCTGTGGTCCTGTCCCAGATGATAGTGATTTCAGTCAGCCTGAAGGAAAGCTCTGCGCCCTCCCTGTAGTGGCACTTTCTGCTGGAGGGGTGGACAGGAAGTGGCTTTGTGTTTTATCTGCAGTGTGGTATAAGGACGTCAAGTGACCTCCTCTTTGGAGAGGCTGGAATGGGGCCACATAGAGAGCTGCGTGCCTCAAACTTTTCTCATTCTTGGAGAAACATTTCCTTATTCTGGCAGAATGAATAAATAGCAAGATGCCTGAGTGGTTATCCAAGCTGTGCCACTCTGCGTCCTGTGCTGTCATCTGCAGGTGGTGGCAGGAATACCCAGGAGACCAGCTGTCAGGGGTTAATGAGATGACCCTCACCAAACACAGACATCGCTTTGCTATGTTATTTCCCTAACTTCTTTTCAGAAAACTTTTTAATTAATTAATTTTATTGGTATATTTTAGATATACGGAATGATCACACGTATCACAGGCTGTAGGTGATATATTTTTTGTTTGTTTGTTTGCGGAACCAGGGATTGAACTCAGGCTCTTGCGCCTGCCAAGGAAGTGCTTATTCTACTGAGCCATCTCCCTGGCCCCAATATAATCTTGATTGTTTCCCTTTCCCCATTCCAACCTTTCTTCTCCTTTTCTTTTCCCTTTCTTTCCCTTCACCCCTCCTTAGTTCCCTTTCCTATGTAAACATTCTCTTGGGGCTGGGAGATGGCTCAGTAGAATAAGCGCTTCCCTGGCAAGCGCAAGGGCCTGAGTTCAATCCCTGGTTTCGCCAAAAAATAAAAAATAAAAATAAATTAATAATAATAATAAAATAAATATTTTCTTCTTATTTTGAAATATCTATTATACATTTTGGTCCTTGTTTACCTTTTTGGTTTCTTAAACCAGAGAGACAATGCAGTATTTACATATACATGTCCGACTTATTTCACTTCAGAGTGTGGTCTCAGAGTGCATCCATTTACCTAGAAATGTCTTAAGTTTATCCTTGGTTATGACTGAGTAATATTCCATGGTGTGAAACACCGCATCTTCTTGCCAGGCGGGTGCTTATGCTGCTGAGCTACCTCCCTGGCCCTAATGTCACATCTTCTGAATCCATTCATGCACTCATGAGCATTTGGGCTGCACCCAAGATTTTGCTATTATAAACTGTGCAGCTATAAGCATGGGTACTCATCTATCCCGTGGTATGATGCTTTTCATTCTTTTGGGAAGATATCAAGAAGGAGGATACTTTCTGTGGAAATTTTGAAACCTCAGAAATGTTGATGAGACAATAAATGCTCACATGTCAATTTTATGAGTCTTCTGAGGCTTTCGTAACATAATACCACACCCTGCCTGGCACGAATAAAACATGCATCTCTTCACTGTTCTGGAGGCTCCAGTCCAGGTCATAGTGCCGGCTGGCTTGGTTTCAGGTGTGGCCTCTCTCCGTGGCTTTCAGGTGGCACGGCCTCGATGTGTCCTCACGTGGGCTTCCTCAGTAGACTCGCTCCTGCTCCTCCGCCACCTCTCTGTCTTCTCTCAGGGCATCAGCCCTGCTGGAGTAGGGCCCCCACCCCCGGCCTCTCACTTTGCTCCTAGGCACCCGAGCTTTGAAGACCGTCTCCCAGAGGACCAGGGTGCCAGCCCAGGGAGAGGGCGAGGCAAACAGTTCAATCCCCAGCCCACGTTTCCAAATGTGGGCAAGAGGGCAATTCGCGTTCCCACTGTCTACTCCCCATCGAGGACACATGTGCATTCCTTGCGTGGAGTGCTGGAATTTGGTAGCGGACATGGAGGACACAGTCTTTTTCTCTGGCCATGTCGAGAACACTGAGACTATGCCTATGTGGATATGTGTGTGAGAGTCATGAAGAGGTTCCAAGGACTTCCTCTTGTGACTTTAAGGACAATTAGGAAAGCCTTCGCCAACCACACTTCCGTTAACTTTACCTAGAGCAGTTTCTCCTGGTAGGAGAAACTATGTAATTCTCATAAGCATATAGATCACAGCTATATAAAAATAACAAAAATTATGCTATATATATATATATATATATATATATATATATATATATATCATAGAATACTGAAAGTGGCATGTACATAAGGGATAGCTTTTCTTATTTTTTCTTAATTTCTAAATTTGTTATTAGCCATGCATTATTGTTTTTATTTTTATTTTTATTTTTTGGCAGAATCGGGGATTGAACTCAGACCCTTGCACTTGCTAGGCAAGCACTTATTCTACTGAGCCATCTCCCCGACCCCAAAGAGAGAGTAATTTTTTTTGGTGGTACTAGGGCTCGAACTCAGGACCTTGTGCTTGCCAGCCAAGCACTTATTCCACTGAGTTATATCCCCAACCCTGCCATGCATTATTTTTAACTACGCTAGATTAAAACTATATAGAATTGGGTAATAGCCAAATGTGACTATGATAAGCTGTTTTACAATAACCAGAGAGTTGGGTTTCTTTTATAGCAACTCTATGATTCTAAGCCAAATTTCCTTCTTATTCTAGTTTTCTTTTCATACGTGTTGCCCAGCTAAGTGTGTTCAAATTAAGGCAACTGTGAAGGCATTCCAGCAGAGATTTTACAGAGTACAAGTGGTTGTTAGATTGTGCCTTTCATGTAGCATCTGCCAAATGTGAAGATTCAAGTTCACTCTATTCAAGAATAACTCTCAAAGCGCAGCCCTGCCAACCTGTGCTTCCCCCAGAACATCCCCAGTACTGCTCAAGGCCTCTTTGTAATTTCATGACAGAACCACTTTAACACTCTCTTCCTTTATGGCTTCCTCTTATTAAAAACTTCCCAGGCTTCCTGCGTCTTACACTATCATGAATGAATTTCTCTATTCCCTACTTACAGCTCATTAGCGTGGAAAGCCCTGGACTGAACATTGGTGACTCTTTGTGCTGATTTTTGGAGAAAATGAGGGCGCGTGTTATGGTTTGGGGTGGGAGGAGCTGGGGATCCTCACAGAGAACAGGAACTACACAGGTGCTGGGGTGTTTGTGATGGAGGATCGGGAAGCCTTCTGGGGCCTGACTGGGATGATTCTGCCTGCAGGGTGGCTCTGTTCTTGGTGTCCATGAGAATCAATGAAACATTAAATGTTTTCATTATTGGCAGTGCTGGGCTTAGAGGCTCCTGCTTCACTTCTGAGAGTGCGGCCAGCCTGGATCCATGCATCGTGTCCCCAGAGGTGACTGAGCCCAGGAAGCACCCACAGGAAGCCCAGGGCCCGGGAGGACCTCCAGCATCCGGCTGCCCACTGCCCTGGGAGCAGGAGTGTCCCTTGAGCTCCGTGCCCTTCACTGAGAGCCCTCCAGAAGGCTGCCTAGAAAGCCCAGCAGCAGTGCCTGAAGATGCTCCCACCCAGCACCCAAGGAGGGCGCCTCGTCCTGGTGCCCTAGGGGACACTGTGACATTTACCCCTGAAGGGGACAGTATGGCTGCCATGGTCTCTGGTGCTGGGGGAGACAAAGAGATGAAGGCTGGGGGACAGATCTCTCCCTCCTACAGTTGCACTGACGGCTTGCCAGGGATTCCATCAGCACCTCCAGGAGAACCAAGGAACGAGCTGCTGTGTGCAGAGGGTCCCTTAGAGTCCCAAGAGAAAGAGAGTGTAGGTGGCTATTCCCCCGCAGAACCCAGGCTGGGTGTGGCTTCTGGACAGATAGTTCCCAAGCTCTGTCCTTCTGCCCATCCAGGCGAGGACAGCTTAGCTGGCCAAGTGGATTACCCTCTAAAACCTGAGACCACGGTCCCACAAGATTCAGCTCTAGGAGCCTCGGACAGAGAAAAAGGCCAAGCAGAGGCACCACTTCAGCATTTAGCCAATGATTTGGGATTCCTTAGCTCCTGCCATTCCCCTGGGAGCAATTCAGGGGCTGCCCAAGAAGCTGAAGCTGCCGCTTCCCTGGAGAGCTGTAGGAAGGCACATCTCCATGCAGAGCCCTTAGACCCACTGAGCCCTACCTTGGTGCCAGGGACAGAAACCCCAGATTCTAGCGGTGCTCACAGTCACTTGCTGACAGGGATGAAAGGTGGGGAGTCCCATCAAGTCTCCCATGTGGCGACAGGCATCCAGGGAGATGTGAGCTCCTTCGGGATCCCTGAGCCCTTTCCACTTACTCTGACTGAAGAAATACAACCAGCTTCCAGCCCCACATCACACCCCACCCATGGGCTTCCTGCTGCCCCAGATGGACCCAGTTCATTGGCCAGGGAGAGGGCTTCCAAAGCTGAAATGCCAGTTTCTGCATATTTGATCAAAGAGCTGGTGGATGAAAGGTCGACAGGACTAGAAAACTGCTCATCAGATCTTGGAAAAGAGCAAGAATATTCAGAAGCAAGTTTTGGAAAGGATTATGCCTCTTCACCCCAAGAGAGGGCAGAGCGTGGGAACTGGGAGCACAGCCATGCAGAGCCCCAAGGGGTGATGCTGCCCCCTCCTCCTCCTCCTGGGGCTTCAAGCAAAAGGATAGAGAGCTCAGTAGGGCCAGAGGAGGGAACCAAGGCCCCTGAAGCTACTGGACATCCAGCTATGTCTAGAGAGAAAGGCAGATGCCATGGAGACAACCCTGAAGGACTGTCACAAGACACAGAACAACTTGGTGCCGTGGATCCTGGAAACCAGGAGGGGAAAGAGTCTCAGGCCTCCCACTGCAAGCCCTATGCACAGGGGGACAAAGACAAGCTGCCAAAGCCAAGTGATGATGCAGAGAGTGCAATCTTTTCCAACTTAGATTCAGCAGAGCCACCTAGAAAGGGAGACACTGGACAGGTGGACAGATCTGACTCTGCATCAGCAGAGGCAGTGTGGCAGGTGGTGGCTGAAGCCACTGGGGCTGATGCAGCCCCCAAACCCCATGAGGAGGACCCCCTCCGGACCCCAGCACCAGATGGTACTCGTGAGCCAGTTGTTCCCGAAGAAGCCGTCTGGGAGAAGCCAGGATTACTGACCAAACGTCCAGATAAGCTTCAGGACAGAGAAGGACTGGGACAAACAGAGTCTCCTCCTGCTTTAAAGTCTGAAAAATCCACTTTTGCTGGAGACGTTGTAACCAAAGTTCAGGAGGTGGAGCATGCTTTGGAAATAAGCAAGACAGGTTGCCCATCCTCCCAGAAGCCCTACAGCTGTGACACCAAGGGATTGTTGACATCCCCAGGTCACCCTTGTGGGCTGGGGCAAGATGCAGCTGGACAGGAAGCTCACGCTGATGTGCTGCCTCCCCCTGAGAGAGAGAAGGCAGCAGCAGCAGCCTGTGGACTCAGTACTCTCAGCCTGACGCAAGACTGTCAGGGAAACCTGCTACGCCCAGGGAGCAGCTGCACAGGAGGAGCTGCAGCAGAGTGTCCCCCCCTACCTTCTGAAGACTGTCCCCAGCCACCCCAAGTGGGCTCAGGAACATCCTTCCATGATCTTCTCAGGGAGAAGACCCAACTACTTGGGCAAGATGGGCAAGAGGCTTACCCAAGTGATCCTGGGTCTAAGGACCAGGGGGTAGAGTCTCCCCACGTCCACGTCTCTGTGGAGCCGCAGGTGGATGTGTGCTTACCCAGTGATGGGGGACGGGAACGGGTGTGTGGGCCAGAACTTCCTAGGGAGCTCCCCATGGGCAGTCTGTCTGATGCTCTGAGTTCGTCTCCCAAGTACACAGTTCTGGAGAGTTCTCTACCAGTGAAGTCAGAACTGCCAACCTCAATAGGACAGAAGTTGCCTATAGCAGGGGAGAACGAGCAAGAAGGAGTAGGTGGTGGGGTCCGGCCTCCTGCAGCAGACACCTTGGAAGACTCTTCTCTTGCAGGGAACTTGGGTGGAAAGGAAAGTTGCTGTGCTGGGCAGGGACCAAACAAGTCCCAACAAGAGCTGGTTGGTGTTTTGAAAGCAGGCAGCCAACATGAAGAAGCATGTTGCAAGGATGGAGGAGTTTCTGAAGAAGCTAACGCCTGGCCCCTGCCCCAGGGTGCGAGTAAGACAGAGATGGCAAGTAGAAACACAGTGTCTTGTCCTCCTGACTCAGTAGCTCTCCACGATACAGCACACTGCCTGCCAGCCTCAGCGCCTGCCAGTGCCAGAGCCACACCCACCCAGGATGCCCCAGAGAGACGGACATATGAAAGAAGCCAGGAAGACAGGCAGGAGCCTGCGCCAGCCCCACAGCAAAGGATGGAGTGCCCAGCCACTATGGATGCAGAGGCCCCAAAGCTTCTTAGAAGTTTCCCATCAACCGGGATGCAAGGGAGTGAAGGTGCAGCTGCCGAGAGTGGTGACAGTGCCAGTGAAGGAGACCGCAGGATGCTGGAGGCGCCCAAAGAACCTGATGCTGCTCAGAGCGGGAGCCTCTCTCCAACGGAGCACTGCTTTGCATCCTGGAAAGAAGCTTCTGCCTTGGCCGTAGGTGAGCCTTGCCAAGTTGAGCAGCGTGTGTCCAGCGGGGAGCGCGCCTCGCTGTCAATCATAGAGCCTAGTGGGAGTCCCGGAAGTGGTGCAGGTATTTCTGCCTGCCAGGCTGTCCCTGACCCAAAGAGGTTTTTGACATCTGGGTCACATGAGGAGGCTGAGCCTGACACCCCTTACCTGCATATTGATGGTGCTGCCAGGCAAGGAGCAAAGGACAGTACAGTGGAAGCTACTTTCTCTGAAGGCCTCCAGGCTCCTGGGGAAAGCCCCCGTCCCAAAGAAGAGTCCCTGCTTGTCCTTGGAAGTGCTGCCTCTGTGAAGCTGTCTGCTGGTTCCCTGGCTCTGCCTTTGCATTCAGGAGCTGCAGGTAGGGAGATCTCTGCAGTTCAGCCCAGCACTGAAAGGCCCAGAGCTGGAAACACCGAGGGACCTGTGACCTCCGCGCCCTACCTGAACAGGAGGCCACCTCTCCTAGCCAAGGGGAAGCAGACAGCCCAGGAGGATGAAGTGGCCCCAGCTTACCCAGGTGCCAGACTACGTGAGAGTCCAGGGTGTCCTGCTAGTGAGGACAGCACGGTGGCTGACAAAGAAAGAGAGATGAGGGGCAATGGGAAGAGGACAGAAGAGCCTTCCCCAGATCCAAAGAGGGATGTATCTTGTGATGCAGATGCAAGTGCCAAGCAGACCAGCATGGTCGCGGGGCTCCCTGACTTCAGGGAGCACATCACTAAGATCTTTGAGCAGTCTGTGTTTGGAGCCCTGGCCACTGATCGGCCCCAGAGTGCACCTGATGAGAAGGCAGGTGCCGGGAAAAACATGGTGGGCAGGACCCCTGCCATACCGCTAAACCCAGAGAAGAACCTAGATGGGACCCAAGGAGAGGCCTGTACACTTCTCTCTGTGTCTCCTGCTGAACTCTTGGTGGAGAAGAAGCAAGAAGGGGCTGTTGAGGTTGAGGTTTCCCAGAATCTGGCAGCAGACAAGCTGCTGGCTCTGGTAGGACCAGCCTTAGAGCAGAACTTGTCCGCTGCCAATGCTGAGCAAGGGACAACTGGTATCCCACCCATAGTGAGAAGCAAGAGGCCAGAGGGGCCTGAGGAGCCCTGGCCAGGCCTGGGACTCCAGGCTTACTGGCCACTTGAGAACAGTGGGCAGGAATTAGCTGCAGGTCCCCCTTTGCCCCTGCTGGCCAATCAGAGGATGCTTCTAGAGGGAATCAGGGACTCCAAGGTAGCAGCTCCCCAGAGTGGTGGGGAAGAGGCCCTGGTCTTGGTTCAGTATGACAGAATCCCTTCTGGGGCACAGCACCGGGAAACATCAGCTAGTGACACTCAATACAGAAGAGATGGTCTGGAGAGGTTTGCTTGCACAGAGGGTCCTGGTGATGAGCTAGGAGCACCCTACACCCTGGAAGCCAAGTCTCCTAGTGGGCATGTGTTGGCTATGCCTGAGGCTAACAGTGAGCCCGGGATCCCTCACCCACTTGGGGGTGGGGAGAAGCCTGAGGCTGCTGCCATGGTCTTGGAAATGCAAAATGCCCCAGGCCACGTAAGCACCCCTAAGCCACAGGCTGAAGAAGGGTCAGACTCTCTCCTGGAGCCTGGCAAAGGGATAGGAGCTGCTGGGGAAGCTGCGGGTGACATCACATCACACACGGCTGAGACAGGGGCACGTGCCGCTGGTGACTTGATTGAAACAGGTACTGCAAGGACATTCCCTGGCATGCCTCATGACTCAGCGCTGCCAGGGAGCTCTCAGGACCTAGAAGACTCTGACCCGGCACAGGCGATGGAGAATGCAGCCACCCTGCAAGGGGACAACACAGATGGACACCAGGAGGCCCAGGAGCAGCTGGGGCCTGACCTCCCTGCTCCTGAGGGGCATATGAAGGCAGGCAACTCCTCAGAGCCTGACAAAACCAGAGACCCAAAGCCACAACATTCAGCTCCAGAAGAGCTCCAAGCCAGCAGGTACTTAGACCAGATCCCTAAGGGCTCAACTTCCAAGGTGATTCCTAGCCTGATTTTTTTTTTTTTAGAAGTCAAAGAGATGGGTGATTTTTAAAGGCTGTTTTCTGTAACTAGCAGGTTAAACTTACCCTCTCTGGATGTGCTAAGATTCTGAAAAAATGTGAAAGAATGGAGACTCTTTTTAACATACCTTGTTCTTTTTCTTGTATTCTTTAATTCATTTAAACTTAAGCTACTGGAAAAGTTTGAAGTGTTGAGTGACTGGCTGAACACGATTGGGTGATGTGCTGAAGTCAGGGGTGTTTTTTTGGAGTATAGATACGCTTCCTTTCTTTGGAGACAGGTCTCACTATCTAGTTCAAGCCAGCCTTGAATTCACTATGTAACCCAGACTGGCTTCAAACTTGTGGTGATCCTCCTGCCTCAGTCTCCTGAGTGCTGGGATTACAGGTGTGCGCCACCGTAGCTGGCCAGATGCATTTGCTTTTAAATCTGGATTTATTTAGGCAGAGGTCCCTAAATTATTCAAAAGCATCTCCAGGCCAGTGGCTGTCTGAAGTTCATTTCTCTGCTCAAAGGATTTTGTTATAGTAGTTACTTAAAACTATCGTTGGGAAATGTGCCCTTTCCTAGGACATGGAGAGAGGACCCTTTAACCGTTCATAGTGTGCTATCAATTGCTTTCTCTCATTGTTTCAGAAGAAGCCCTGGGCCTGGCTCAGCCACCTTACCTCTGGTTCCTGAGGATGCTCCGAGAGTCCTTCCAGAGGAAGCCAGGAATACAAGAGGGCTGGAAAGGTCAGTGAGCTCCTCCAGGCTCTGGGAGACTGAGCTGCCTTCCTTAGACGCAGACACTGAGTGTTGTACAAAGAAGAGCAGACTTTAAACATCACCTTTTAGATGAGAAAGGCAGGTAGCCGCTTGTGGTAGTAGTTACTTAAAACTATCGTGGGGAGATGTGCCTTTTCATAGGACATGGAGAGAGGATGCTTCCCATCCTCCACCCTGACATGATTCAGTATAGAAAAGGATTGAGTTGCTCTCATACCTAGCTTTATTAACTTTAAAAAACAAAACAATTTTGGAGATAGCCCAGTGGAATAAGTGCTTGAGGTCCCGAGTTCAATCCCTGATACCAAAACCAAACAAACAGTTTTATTGAGATACAATTCACATATCATAATTCACTCTCATTTAAAGAGTATCTATAGGCTGGGGATGTGGCACAGTGGTTGAGCTTTTGCCCAGCATGCACAAGGCCCCTGATCCCCGCCACACACACACACACACACACACACACGCACACGCACACACACGTACGCACGCACACAAAGTGTCTAATTCAAGGACTCTTAGTGTACTTAAAGTTGTACAACCGTGGCTACAATCAATTTCAGAACATTTCCATCCCCCAAAAGACAGCTCGCAGCCCTAGGCAGCCCGCCTTGCCCCCCCGCCCCAGTATCAGTCCTAGATACTAGCTAATCTAGCCAATCGCCTTTGGAGGCCAATGGGGTGCGATCTCTGAAGCAGGAATGGCTCGTCACCACCAGCAGCTGCATGTCCAGCAATCTAGGAGCATGATTACGATTAGGAGCAGGCACAGGAGGGATAGTTGTGGTACCTAGACCTTCAGGAGACCTTCAAACCTGCATGGGAAGGGGTGGGGGGATGTCCTGGTCTTTTCTGAGTGAAGCGCCACCTGTGGCCCCTCTGAAGCTACTGCCTACATTTCATCTTTTTGTGAAGTTAGAGACATTGTAGAAATACCCACTATGGGTAGGGCCAGTGACAGAGCTCAGCAGTGCAGTGCCTGCCTGGTGAGCACAAGATCCTGAGTTTGATTCCTGGTACCAAAGAAACAAAACAAAACAAAAGCCCACAAAAGACACTATGAATAAGTTTTGCAGTATGCCTACACTGTGTTCTGTCTCTGTCTCTGTCTGTCTGTCTGTCTGTCTGTCTGTCTGTCTGTCTCTGTCTCTGTCTCTGTTTCTGTCTCTCGTCTCTGTCTGTCTGTCTTTGTCTCTGTGTATCTCTCACTCTGTCTGTCTGTCTGTCTGTCTGTCTCTGTCTCTGCCTCTGCCTCTGCCTCTGCCTCTGCCTCTGCCTCTAAATTAGTACCTGTGTCTCCTCCCAACAGCTGTGGGCGTTTTATAGATGCTTGATTCCCATTTTGCACATGCTGAAAGAATGCATGGTCACCTGTTTTTCCAGTCAGAACACTTCCCCTGACTCCCAGCTGCTTTTGCTGCCCCACAGTGATAGGGACACTTGTGACTCTGGGCCAGCATAGATGCAGCCTTGCTGCCCAGACAGATGCAAGCTGATCTACATTTAACACCCATGTCTGCCACTGCCTCAGTGAACTATTTCCTGCAGCCCTTGCTGGTGTGAGCTTTTTACATTCCCTGCTACAGCGTAGGAGAAATATCTGCCTAGCTAGGGAGACCTCCCCGCCCACAAGTGACTACCTCAGCTCCTTTTCCAGCCTCTGTGGGCATTTCATCACCTTGCTGGGAAACTCAGAGCCAGACATAGAGCAGCCCAGTAAATACATTAAAGCTCAATGTCTTAATCATTTTCAATTTTAAAATAATTTCCAAAGTTGGGCCAGGGAGATAGCTCAGTGGACTAAGCTCCTGGACTAAGTGTGGGAATGGGGTTCCCACCATGTGATCCTGGGGAACACATGCTGTGCAGGCCCCACTCCTGGGCGCCCTGAGCTGGCAACCTCATCTGGGTATGGTGGCACATGCCTGGAATCCCAGCTCTGGGGAGGCTGAACATAAGACAATCGCTACGAGTCTGAGCTGTGTAGTGAGACCTTGTACCAAATACATAAAATAATAATAACAATTTCCCAACTTGCACTAGAAATGATCATTCTCTGGCCTATTGGTCAAGTATAGAAGAGTATAAAAGAAGAGGAAAATCCAATCACACCACCTACCCATTACTGTTACTTAGTGTCTTAGTGTCATTTTACCCATTGTTGTTTTTTTCTGTTGAAATAGTGAATCATTTTTCACCCCTGCTACCAAAACTCTTTCTAAAGTATGGTGGACAACACTGTTTAATGGTGAGCGGATGACACTGTATAACTAGCTGTGGACTTGCAGGTTCAGATGGCATTTGTATTCATTCCTATGGAGACTTTTCAAAATCAATGTTTATTATTTTTTGCATTTACTAGTGCATGTTTGCAGTACATAACAATTACATGCATTGTGGGGGGTTGCTGCCTGCACACATCTTAATTTGGAAACTTATACATGCTCTGGAACTGCACGGGCTGACACAGCTGTTGCTAGCCACGTGTGGACGGGCTGAGTGTGGGTAAGTGAAACACAGACGAGATGTTGAGGAGTTACGATGAAAAGACATCGTTCATGATTTTATACTGACTACGTGAAATGGTTGTATTTTGGATATATTGGGTTAAAGTGCATTTATTGAAATTAATTTCATTTCCTTCTTTTTGTGTTTTTAATGCAGCTCCTCAAATATTTAAAATTACGTGGGTGGCCTTGTGGCACACAACACACACGCTATACAGATCATTTGGCTGCAGAAGCTGCTTTTCTGTGTGTGGTTCTTGGGGACAAGGCCTGCTGCCCCATCCACCTGCTGGTTGAGACCCTCTAGAAAGGGCTCTGGCTGGGCTCTCCCCACAGCCTAGCCAGGGTGACCTTTGGCTCCTCTTCCCAGGACTTACAGGAGAGGTAGCACCTGAGCAAATAGGCCAAAGATTCCATCTATGCTTAGGGGCAATCAAAGTTCTCTGGAAGGCTACAGACCAGCTCTATACTATAGGAATGTGACGGAAGCCACAAAGGCATCTTTTTTCTTTTTTCTTCAGAAAGGTGATCTAAAAAAAAACCAGAAAGGTGATCTTAAATTTTTCTAAGCCAAAATTAAAAAGCCTAAATGGAAGTGGGAAAAATTGATGATATACTTCACTGGACATGGCATACCAAAATACCACCATGTCAACATGAAATTGATTCAACATCACTAAAGTCATATGCTGCAATCTTATTTTCTTAAACTAAATCTTTAACATTTGATATGTGTGTTATATTTGGAGCACATCTCAATTGGGACCTGCCACATTCCTAGTATTGAACAGACAGATGTGATCCATAGCTACCCTCTTAGACACCCCCAAAATGGATGACTGATCCAAAGGTGGCACCTTCCCAGGGGACCTTAAAGTCCATATCTCCCCAGTAAGCTTGCTCCTGTCCTTGTAACACGAATAGTGGGAATGCTTCTTTTCCTTGAGGAGAACACTTAGTACTATGCCTCTTTTGGGTGAACCCACTCACCACCACGGAGCAGGTCTCAGAGAAAAGTCCTGCTGTGGTCAGAAGGTGCTGGGAGCAGATGTTGCACATGAAGATCAAATTCAGCTGCTGCCTGGAGGAGATTGGGCAGCCACAGGTCAGCGGACACTGGCAGGAGATGGACAGATGAAATTCAAGGCCAGGGCTCTGAATTTTACTCCTTAGAGGTTAGATACATTACCTCAGTTTTCTTATCCACAGAATGGGAAGGACTACAAGTGTACTTGCCTCCTTAAGTTCAATGACAATGGCAACGGAAGTCACTGACTCCCACACTCTGGTGCTGAGTGGATGTCCAGTTCCTCGCTGTGTTACAGCGGGCTGTCCTCATGCAGTGAGCTGCACAGTAGTGTCTGTCTTTAGTCTGGAATTTGTTTCTGGGATCTCAGTCTGTGCTTTGACACTGAGGTTCTAACCTGCCTATTTGCCTTTTCCGATGGGATTCTTTGCCTACTAAAATACCTAAATGGCTGAGGAAAGAGAATGCTTTCTTTCCTTCTGCTGTGGGGTAGCCCACTGTGAGCTGCTGCAAGTTAAACGTTTTGGAGATAGTGTTTTACTGCAATACTTTATGTATCTTTCTCTGTGTATCCTATTGTATTGTATTTCCACCATCAATAATGCTGTAAATTGCCAGGAGAAAAGCGAAGTACATCAACCCAAAGTTTCCATTTTCTGGTGAATTATGAGGTGGTTGCTTCTAAGGAATCTACTGAACTTCAAGCATCCTGTCGACTTGAGTGGAACTGGTAGCACACGGCAGTCTCAGTATCCGAGAGATGTCCCTTTTGCTGTCTTGGGCGAGGTAGTTTGATAACCCAGCCTCATACACAGGCAGTGTAAAGAGGTGCAGTGCTTTGGTCCCAAGTGAGGAAGCTCATTTGGTGCTGCTGGCAATGTGCCATGGGTAGCCCATGGTGTTGTGTCCCTCCGGTCACCAGCTTGCACCCTGTGAAGCAGCTGCAGCCAGCCAGTGGTGCATTTGGTTACCTTGTGTGCTCTTCCTCCTGAAGGACTTGGGGCAGAGGGGACAGCTTCACTGTGTATTGAAAGGATTTGGGGTGACCTTCACCTTTGTAGACCACATTCCTTAGATGGTCTAGGATTTGGTATTTTGGTTACACATCACTAATGACAGCTCTGGCAAGTGATACAGAGAGGTAACGACACATGTCATTCTGAATCAGCCTTGGATGACACCGTGCTTGTTTTGGCTGGACACTGATGTAAAGGGGTCTTGTTTCCTACTTGAAGTAATGGTTGCAAAAGAATCATTCAATTAATAGTGTGTTTTAGGAGACTTACATTGTTCCCAGATGCCTAGGGGCTTTGTGTAGGCCCAGGCTAAATCATAAAGGACATTTGGGTTGAAAAATTGAGGGAAAAATAGACAGGGACAGTTGGCCTCTTGCTGAGGAAGCCCTGGCCGCCCTGAAAACCACATGGGAG